TTCCTGTCCAAATTTCCAGTGGAGTGACTTCTGTGCATCTCGTAGGAGATCTGTTGAGAAGATAGCATGCAGTGTTTGCCGCTTCTGCCCAAAATTTCTGAGGAAGTCCCGAATCAGCAAGTAAACATCTGACCTTTTATACAATCGTGCGGTTTAAACGCTCCGCTTTTCCATTTTGTTCAGGCGTATGAGGAACGGAGGTCTGATGTTGGATACCTTCAGTACGAAGAAAATCTTTCATTTGATTAAAACAAAATTCACCTCCATTATCTGTCCTGAGTATTTTCATCTTCAGACTTGTTTGATTTTCTACAAACTTCTTGAAATTGACAAAGGTGTCAAAAACGTGGCTTTTTTAACCACGAAATAACAAAATGACATGTGGCTGTAGTCATCTAAGAAGGTGAGCGTATACTGGGACCCCGCTAGTGATTTATCTAGTGACCCAACTAAATCTGAATGTACTAGCTTCAAGAGTCCAGTTCATCTAGTTTCACTCATTGGGAATGACAAACGATGACTTTTGCTGACAGCACAAACTTCACAAATGAATTCTTTCGGAATTTTACCAGAAAAATGAATTCCGTGAACTAATCCATTTTTCAACTTCTTCAGATTGGATGAATTGACATGCGCCATGCGCCTGTGCCACAAAAGTTCTTCGTTAGGAAAATCTGAATGAGCCAATTGAACTGATTGGGAAGCGAGGTCCAACTTGAACAAATTATTTTCTAATGTTGCAGTTGCCAGTATGCTATCATTTGAATCATAAACTCGTGCACCATCAGAATCGAAGACAACTGTATTCCCTCTATCCACAATTTGACTGACTGAGAGAAGATTCACTCGTAAATCAGGTACATAATAAACATTTCGAACAGTTACATCTGAAGTATTGCCATTCACTGTGACAGGTAACTTTATATCACCAATACTGCTTGTTTGCATGATATTCTCACTGTTCGCGGTGCTTACATTCATTTTTGACGGGGTAGTTTCATTTACAAAAATGTTTTTGTTCTTTGTCATATGCGCGGAACAACCCGAGTCGAAAAACCAATCTGATGTACCCACAGAAATTTGAGTGGAAAGAGCGGTAAACATGCCTTGTTCCTTGTTATCACTGGTGGTGGCATTCCCGGAGAAATGTTTCTTTTCACTTCGGCTGGAGCAGTTTTTGCAAAATGTCCGTATTTGTTACATTCGTAACAGCGAGGCCCTTTTGATCTGGAACTGGTACCGTTTTTTTCAGAATCGGAACTATTCTTTTTGAACTGGTTTCTCAAATTGCTTTGAGCGGAACTGGGTTTCGAAGTAGAATATTGCCGATGTTGAAAACCATACATCGCCTCTACTTTCTGGCCATTTTAGTTGTTGAAACGTCTTGAAGCAGTTTAGTTTTGATCGCATCGGCGGTAATTTCAATACCGGAGGACTCTATCGCCATGATCATAGGCTGGAAATTATCGGGAAGACCGGCTAATAAAATATTGCCAACCCACTGGTCAGAAACTTTCAAACCAATGTTCGTAAGTTTATAGGCGGTCGTGATAATCCTATTCACAAAATCCTCAACTGAGTCACAGTTTTCGAGCCTAGTCATAATTAGAGCTCTCAATAAACCAAACCTTCTGATAAGTCCTGAATCCTGGAAGGCGGATTCCAAAGTGCCCCATGCTTCTTGGGCTGTCTTTGTTGATTGTAAATGAACGTAGTTTACTTGATCAACCAGAAGAATGATTTTCGCTCTTGCTTTGACGTCTTTTTTGCAAGGATCAGACTTACAGTCACCTGAAACGCAGTCCCAAAGTTCTTGGTCCAAAAGGTAGGCCTGTACTGCGAATTTCCAAGCGTCATAGTTCTCGCGCCCTTTCAATTTTTCTATTTGCGGGATCTGACTCAACATTTTCGCACACCGGTACAGGAAATACTTAATCGGCTTCAGCAGAATATCCTGGGGCTCATAACCTGTTGTTATTCTATAGTTTCCCTATATTATAGTGGAGATGAAATTAGAATGAATGTTAACTGACATGTACTTGATAATCTGTTTATTTTTCTTGTGACACATATCTACATGGCGTTCATATCTAGATTATTAGGCTAATATAACCAAATATAATAAATAGTCCAACACCGATTACTCGTTTTAGAAGCGTTTTAATGGATATCACATCAGATTCCCACGAAACTTCAAAGTGAGGAGTCGCTGGTGGATTGAAATGCAATTGAATACTCAAATTCGATTTTGTCACTCTACCTCTAAGTGCCATAAATCTTCTGAAAGCTACAGGGGTACGGCTAACACGAAAGCAACGATATTACTTGATGAATTGCACTCTTAGAGGCACTCTTTCATAAAAGAATCCAGAACTGTTGAACGATCAAATATCTCAAAGTATTAGGACCTGGATGTAAGTTTCTAGTATGAGTGCCGAGGCAATAATATGGGGTGCTTTGCATCGTATGGCAAATCAGAATGCCGCAATCGACCGCCCACCCTGAGGTGTCCAAAAAAGGAGCAACTTTCCTAAAGGGTTTCGATCAAGACTTTCCAGATTTAAAATTAACAATATCGTCGCGAAAGACTTGCCTCAACAATAACGACCATTTCTCTATGCAAATCATCTACACTAAACAAATACACATTCACATATCGTGTATACGATTTCATGTAGATAAACCTCTGGCAATAAGCTACGATTATTGCAATTTTGCGAAGGGAAGGGAAGGAAAGTTGTTCAGCAAATTCAGAATACAGTTATCCTCATACATTGTTGAAGAATAAACATTTTTGTTCTCATCTGACAAGGCATCACTATCATCCACAGCATTTATCTCACCCGAACCTGTCAGCGGAAAATGACTGTAACCATGGTGGTCCATTCCACCAAATATGATGTGTATACTTCAATTACTTTTCAAATATTCTAGTTACATTCAGAATATTGTATAATTACTTTTTCAGTAAGTACAGTAATTCTATTTTTCATTACTTCAAATAATGATGAAGTCTCCTATCATTTTTAAGTTCGTATTAGAGGAGGAAGTCTCCTGATATCATTTTTAAGTTCGTAGAGGAGACCAGCCAGCAGGTTGTTGACATTTCTGGTCTGCCTAAGTTCGCGTTAGTAACTGAATGAATCCCAGAATCCCGATGAGCACTGGAAAATTCGATGTTTTTGAGCTTTTGTGAAAACAACAAGGTTGAATCTCCGAACTGGCATACCCGTACAGAAAACTAGTCTCTATTTCTGAAGTGGTTTGACGATAGATTCACCAATTTCAAGTGTTTCAATATACGATATCAAAGAAGTCATATCCCTAAATCCATATAGTTCAACAACAAGACATAGATACCAAATTATACCGAGTGTCCCAGTACACCTGGTTCAATTGCATATTTCAGTCATTTCAACAAATTAAAATTTTGAATTTGTACGATCTATTATACCTACAAGGGCCAAGGAACAAAACAAAAATAGGAAGCATGCATGTTCAACTGGAAGAGATGTTACCTTTTTTGGCACATTGCATGCTTTCTGAAATTGTGGAATGTAATACATCATTATAAAGATCATTATAGAAAGGAGTAAGTATTGAGTAGATTCCAAAAATTCAGGAAAAAATCAACTGGGCCCCATCTGAGAACAAAAAGTTCCTCCTTTGGATTAAACCGAAATTTGAAATATTCTGGAATTGGCTGGAATACAATTGGAACGGGTATATTGGGACGCCTGATATATGTATAGTATGTAGATATGGCATATAGGATCCAGTATTGTATTTTTACTGTTGCTCAAATAATTATTATCATTTTTCATATTTTACCAGAGATGACCGTTTTGAATTCTTTTTTATATTCTGTTTATTGTTAATTTGTTTTTGAATATATTTTCTACATATTTAATGTTATATCTTCTCAAGGGTGAGAACATTTGAATTTTGAACATATTTCATTTATAAACTTATTAAACTTACAGTTTCCTGTAGTTTGATAATTTATTTCATTTCAGTATTTTTTCTTAGAATTATTGATAAACTTGCCAAAAGGTCCAGCAAAAGTGAGATGATATCAGATCATCTTGTTGAGAAACACCTTTAATCTCTGATTGATTCATTCTTAAAATCTGACATATACAGGGTGGTGAATTTGTAGATGCTCACCATTGTGATCTCAGAACTGGTATAAGAGATGAGGTTGGTTGAATTTCGGTTAAGTTAGAGAAAAGTTGCGCTATTATATTTCTGGAAAAAAAATCCTAGATATTCTGATTGGTTCTTGCTTTATATTTTGATTTATATAGAAAAATAATATTGTTCATCTGAAATTCTGATTTCAACTTTTTTCAATATGAATCAAGAACCAATCAGAATATCTTGGATTTTTCCCGAATTATAGTGGGCAGGAAATGGTGCAACTTTTCTTCAATTTGAAGGTCCTCATATATCTTATTACCAGTTCCCAGATCCCAATATGATGAGCATAGAAAAATTCACCACCCTGTATATCTATATCTGTACTAATATTTTGAAGGAGAAAGATTTGTTTCCTTTTCAGTTTGTTTGTATTGAATAGGCTCTGAAACTACTGAACTGATTTTAAAACTTCCATAGAACCACCATTAGATGAACATAGGCTAATTTTTACTGTGGGAAAATGCTCCATTCCTATGGGAAAACAGGTAATAGGACAAGGGGTGGTAAGAATTGTCCTTCCCTGCTCATCTTTTCTGAACCTATTGGGTTGAAAATCTGAATGGTTATTTTGATGGTTTCCTGGATGATTTAAAACTAGAATTAATCACAAGTAGGAGGTGTAGGTATGTACTAACATACTAACCTCAGTACCAACAACAACTACTAGGAGTAGAATGTAAAACTTACTAGTGTAGTAATTAGGAACCTTAGTTTGGTTTTCTTAGTTTAAGCAAGAGGAAAAAGGTTAGTATTTTGATAAATACCATTACATTGTGATTGTGAATTAAACAAACACCTACATTCATTTATGAAGTTGACGATTTCTTCATGCTGTGGAGAAATACTCTCACTCCTCTGACCAGTAGGTGATGACTTCTTAAGAAATGTTGGTTTGGGAATACTGCAGAAAACTAGGTTTGTTGAAATATACAAGCCAATTCAGAAAAAGATACTCACTGATTCATTTCATTTTCCTCAATATCAGTTTCTTTATTTTTCTCCCTAAAATGTTCCATATTTTGAGAGATACCTAAATAAAAGTAAAAAAGTAATGATAAACATTAGAATATAATAATAATTATTATAAAACTGTTCTCTGGTAAGGTTTTTTATTTTGAAGCATACCTCTTCTTGCAGGTTTTGGGACGGTTTTACTTGGACCTTTGATATTGTACATAATTGAATTTTCAATTTTTGAAATTTTTTCAATCCACAACCTACAAACAAATTATTTCAAAACTTGTGAACTGTGGAGTTAGCTAGTCTAGTTCGAAAAGTGAAGTGCTACAAACGTCTCTCGCCAGCCATTCAATTAGTAGCATGCTGCCGTGCTGCGATTATTAAGAGGTATTATGAGGAAGGAAAATATCGTTTCTGCATGATAAAGAAAGACTTTTGGCTCAAGTTTCGTTTAGCTGAAATCAGTTATGAAAAAACTGTTGCTATGGCAACGATCGTCATGATAACGAGTAAACAAAAACCCGATTCCCGTGGTGAGGAAATGCGTGGTTGCCAAATTGTATCGGGTTTAGTATAGCTGAAATAGGTTATGGAAAAACTGTTGCCATGGCAACGATCGTCATGGTAAGGAGTAATCAAAAACCCGATTCCCGTACTGAGGAAATGCGTGGTTGCCAGATCGTATATCGGGTTTAGTATAGCTGAAATCGGTTATGGAAAAATTGTTGCCATGGCAACGATCGTCATGGTAACGAGTGAAGAAAAATCCGATTTCCGTGGTGAGGAAATGCGTGGTTGCCAAGTTGTATCGGAGAATTATTGCTTCATTCATTAATTTCAGAAACACTCTTCAATGTAACCATCCTTCGCGTGCCGAGCTATTCGACAATATCAAAAAGAAACAGAGCCATTTTGGAATATTCATTACGAGGTATCGCGCAGGATATAGGAAGAGAGAGTACAGGTACTGATTGTCTAATACAGATGGAATCATCTCGTTAGGCCCACCCACATTTCCATTTGCCTTCATTTCGATTCACCCATACCTTTCTTCACACGCACATTTTGATTCAGCAACAGTCTTCAAACATACACGAACGATGCCTTGCTACCAAATCTGAACGATGCTGGAAGATATATGTTTTTCAAGAAGAAGGTTGATTTAAGTCGAGTTAGGTTAGATTGTTTGGAGAAAGTAGTGTCCTTTTTTATGCAGTCTTCAAACACACACGAACGATGCCTTGCTACCAAATATTATCGATGTTGAACAATATATTTTTTCTAAGAAGGTTCATTTACGCCAAGTTAGGTTAGATTGTTTAGAAAAAGTAGTGTCCTTCCTTATGCGCTATTTGTTCCGCACTATTTTGTCGCTCGCTAATTTGTCTAGCTCTGTTCAATAACAAAGCCAATTTTTTCCAGACGTTATTTCCATATATGATTATTCAACGACGAACAGTCTTCAAGAAATTTATAAGAAGGGTATTCATTCGAATCAAGTTATTGTTTGAATACTAGCAGAACAAAATTTGACGGTTGAAGATTGCGCTGATTTCAGCTATACTAAACCCGATACAACTTGGCAACCACGCATTTCCACACCACTGAATTCGGATTTTTGTTTACTCGTTACCATGACGATCGTTGCCATTGCAATAGTTTTTCCATAACTGATTTCAGTCAAACAAAACCCGATACAACTTGGCAACCACGCATTTCCTCACCACGGGAATCGGGTTTTTGTTTACTCCTTACCATGACGATCGTTGCCATGGCAACAGTTTTTCCATAATTGATTTCAGTTATACTAAACCCGATACAATAACTTGGCAACCATGCGTTTCCTCACCACGGGATTCTATTTTCTGTTCACCTGTTACCATGACAACGGTTGCCATAGCAACAAATTTTCCATAACTGATTTCAGCTAAACGAAACTTGAACCACACTTTTGACCTAATTCGTTCTGTATGAATCTTCTTTCTGGAATGTGTTTTTTTCGAGAAAATACTTAGTGAAAACAGAGGTGTAAACAGAAGGTTGAAAAGTATGAGAAACGAAGATATCTGCATGGAAAAGGAAAATGCGACTTCTTTCAACCGAACTCGTCCTAGATGGTCATTCTTCTGAAAAGTTTATTTTTCGAAACATGACTTGTAGAAAAAAAAAAACAAAAGGAATATTCTCAGATATAATTATGAACAAAAAAAATGGATTAATTTATTGAGAATTAGCATTCTCTTTGTGCTGAAAATATCAATTCCTTTCTCGGTTTATTCAACAGAAAGCAACTACTTTCCTGGCTATATGCCACGACGAACATTGAATTACATCTATTGAACACACACGATAAGAAAAAAAAAGAAAAGAAATTGGCCCCTTGCAGTGATTTTAACGCAAGCCACCGTCGTGGAAGTCGGGAATATACAGAGCACTGAACTATCGCGCTACTCTAAAGGTCTAAGTATGAAGAAAGAAGAAATATCGTGTGTTGGCCATATAATGTACCTACTAAACATATACGGATAAGTTCATTTCACCTTTTTTATGCAGAAAGGATATTTTTCTTCCTCATACTCATAACCTTCTGTTTTCACCTAAGTGATTTTTCGATAAATATACCTTTTCAGGAAAAAGATTCATTGAGGCCGAGTGAGTTTGAAAGGAGTCCCTTATATCATGCAGAAATTATATTTTTCTGCATAATACCTTTTGATAACCTTTAAGCAGCGTTATCACAACCAAACTTTTTACGTCAGATGCCCGACGCTGGAGGCAAAACATTGAAACACAACGTCATTTTTCTTATTTGTTTACAAGTGATCGAAATAGTTTTTCACAATTATTTTGGCATACGAATCGTATTTTTCGCTAATCATCAATTCGCTCATTCCATCACATTATGCTGTTGTGAAATGCACAAAAACTGCAGCGGAAGACGAAGTAATCCGGTTGGTACATCATGATTTAAAAATGAGTACCTACTATAGTCACTCACATATAATTAATTTTTGAAAAGTCGGTAATTTCTCTGATTTCTCATCGGAATTTTTTCTGCGATATGAGCTAATAGAAATACACCTGAAATTTCAAAAATAATGCAAGAAGATTGGATTCATGCAATCAATCGGGAGGACTAGTCTGACATGCTGACGATCGTGTGTGTTGTAGACATTTTCAATCAATTAGCAGTATTAGCTTGTATTGCAGAAGTGGCAGAAGGCAGAAGGGATTTTAATAAGGAATGACAACACATTTCATGATGAAAACTATGTGAGATTACCTGAAAAATCATATACTTTAGTCTCTTGCTGCATTTTTTGTGCATTGTACAACAGCACAATGCGAAGGCATGCTCGAATTGATGAATAGCGCAAAAAACACGATTCGTATGCCATAATATCGTTAAAAACTATTTCATTCCTTTGATTCCTCTGTAACCAAATAAAAAAGTGGGGTTGTGTTTCAATAATTCACAGAAGAATAGGTTGTGTTTCAATATTTTGCCTCCAGGGTCGGTCTTCGTGCACGCGACCTATTCCTAAAATGTGGAATTGAAATGACGCAAAAAGCTGCAAGATGCCATCGTCTGTGAAAAAGTTAAAAATAGACAATTTATGTTGAAAAAATGGAAAATACTACTGTAAGTTCACCAATCAGAATGAGAAACGTTAAAAGCAAAACGTAACAAGTTTGGTTGTGAAGCACGGAAGCATGCTACTAACTGGATGACTGGCGATAGACGTTCGTCAGCTTAGGGATTGGCATTTTGACAACACGGGCTTCTTTTGAAAGTGTATAGACGGTCGACCAGTCGGCAAACTAAACTATACTTTTTTTATAGACAGCAAAGATCCAACTCTAGGTTAGACCACCTTGGCTTGTCAATCTTGTGTTCCCGTGTTCAAATCCCACATGAAATATTTTTTTATTCAATTTTTTCTACCAAGATTTTGAGTACTCAACCCAAACAGTGTTCTTCGTTTATTCTGTTTTCCTTCTTCCATTGTTTAGTGCACAAGTTTTTTTTGATCAGGTTTGTGTTCCACCAATAGGTTAGAGTGTTTGTGTGTAAGTATCTATCTAATTTTTTAGGCGTATTTTTCTCTCAAATCATGTTTTCTTCTTCCTGAAAATCGATAATCACTTGAGAATAGTTTAATTCAGTAATGGTCGGCAGTCTACTGGTCGACATAATATTTTTCCGACCGGTCGGCAAACAAACAAAATATCATAGATTGCCGACTGGTCAGCAGGTTATACACTTCCAAAATTATTTGAAAGTTGAGAAAGAACTTGGTTGAAAACGTCAAAACGTGGTGAAAACAAAAACACGTGCAGAGTGAAAAATATTAGTAGAATTAAAAATTGAAATAATTAATGATTGATTATTGAAAATGAGTTCTTCTTTAGTTCGTAAAAGTTTATCAGTTGTTGATCCAGAATTTAATGTGAATAATATAAGTGAGTTTGTTCATAATTAGGGCCAATTTATGCATAATTCTCTTTGTCTAGTCATGAGCCTCAGCCTCAATCTATATACCTACTCTTCGTTGAGGCCTGCCTTTCCGAAATTTTGCGACTGCAAGTGCTATTATTGAAATTTTGCAGCAGAGATGAAAACCTCTTGTCATGGGCTGTCCACATTTGATTGTGTTCTGATATTGTTATGTTATTATGTTATTTGATAAGATACAAGAATACAAGTGAATTTAATTGGAGAGTTCAAGAGCATAGCAGCAGAAGGGAAATGAGAAGCATTTTGAGGAATTTCCATGGATTTTAATGAATTACACATGGAATCCTCTGATATATTGGGGACCTTAGCTCAGTGTCTATTTATTAGTGACTGAAATGATGACAGTTCTAACCTGGCAGCAGAATTACTTTTTTCATTGAAGCTGGTCATGATATCAATCCTATCAGCTTCCTAGAAGTAGTTCAGTTTCCACTTCAAACTGTAGGTCCGCTCTACTTAGCCCTGCTCTGTAGGGTGTACAACTTTTTCCACTTCTGGGAAAGTTCATAGTTTCACACTTTGAAGTAGTGATATATATATATATATATATATATATACATACAAATTATAGGAAATTCCCGAGGAAATTCCATCAGTTGTTTCGAAATTCAATGAATAGAAGAGAATTGTTCTTTTCCACACATTATAGGAATTTCCTTTCATGGGCTCCAAGAGATTAAAAACAATTTCCTTTACAATTCCATCCCATGGTTGGGGGGCTTGAAACTTTGAATTCTTGAATAACACATATATGACAAAAATACTACTATTCAATCATCAAATGAGATATTTCAATTAATATTGAATTGATGAGATTTTACAATTTTTATTAATATTATTATTAAATTAATATTCCATTCCTAAACTTGGTGGTGCACTGGTTTTGCACCAGTTTTGCACTGCACTATGTTAGTTCTCTCCAAAATGTGAACTGATGCATTCCCAATGGAATATGAAATAATACCGGGTGACACAGGGTATCGGGCCACCCCTGTAACTTCTGCATTCGTCAACGGATTTTTCTGAAATTCGGTACAGTTATATAAGCAATTATTTCGGATTTGATCACATTACAATCCAATATGGCGGACTTCCGGTATTTCTGGAAATGACAGCAACTTTGTTTTTTCAAATGAAACACCCTGTATATTTTTACATATTCAAGTTCAACAGGTCGAAACAAGTGCAATCTTTATTTCAAATGTCATATTGGATTTCAATGTGATCAAATCTGAAATAGTTGCTTATATAACTGTACAGAATTTCATAAAAATCCGTTAACGAATGCAGAAGTTACAGGGGTGGCCCGATAACCTGTGTCACCCGGTATATCTCAAATTTCATTGTTGGAGGTTAATTTGGATGAATTGGTGTGTCTTTGTTCATAACTTGTCCATATCCTGAAATTATTTCTTGACTTCAATAAAAACAAAGTAGATGTTCCATGGGAAATAATTTTGACAACTATTTTTAGTATCTCTACCTCATTGAATTAGTGCAAAACAATCAACAAAATTATGAATTCTGGGACGTAATCTCCTTTATTTTCTTGTAACCTCCAAATTTTCATCACTACTTGATGATGATAATTAGATTGCTACTCAATTTTTAGCTCTAAACTATGTGAACCAGTTTTACAATGGAATTCAACACCCAACACCAGTTTTACCAATGGAATACAAAATATGCACTCAGTGCAAGCCAGTTTTACCAATGGAATTCACTATAAGTATCAGTATTTGGAAGGCATATTTTGCATGTCAAAATAAGATTTTTTTTCAAACATGTCCACAAACACTTTGTTACCGATCTACAGAGCGTTGAAATTCAATATATTTTTTCTGCAGGGAGATATTTTATCAGAAGATAAGCCCAATTTCACTCTTCACACTTTTTTGTGGTGTGCCGCCTCTTGCGCTGGTGGTAGATTTTGAAATATGAAATGACTTGTTTTGTTTATAAACTTTTTGTCTCTTGTTTTCATGCATCTTAGACTATTATCGAAAAAAAGAATAAAACTGCATTAAAATGGAAAATGGAAGAGTGGAAGAGCAGCTGTCGATTTATCGGCGAGTTGAACTCTGCCTCTTGTTTCATTGAGACAATAAAAACATTTATCATTATTATTATTATTATATGGATTTCATCAACGATTTTTCGTTAACGGTTAGCCTTTCCAAGTTTCTGAAGCGATTTTAATCCTGGTTTTCTAACACAAGGAGTGTATTTTCTATGTCGATTATTTCGACAAGTGTCACTAATGTCAGTGACAAGGCTACTGGGTGATTCTTAGTAGTTTCCGGAAGAAGGATGAATTCGCGAACCAAGTTTTCTTCATTGCAGGAGAAATGAGAAATATATATATATATATTTATTTTAGAACAACAAAACAATAATGTGACAATATTAGAACATGAATCAAACTTGAAAAAAAGAACCTTTTTAGAAATGACACATATTTTCAAATCAACGAACACTAATACTAGAACTGACATAGACAATTTAAGCATAATTTACTCTCACCTTTTAAGTTTACCAGCTAATCGCAATAACATAACAATCATTGAAGAATTTTAAATTTCCCGGTAAAAACGAACAGTTGGCAATACCATCATTAGAATGTCCATCTTCTCTTCTATTTTTATTCACTTCAAAGAATTACCGTTATTTCCGAATTTTGAATTTTGACAATTGACTCATGACAGATGAAATTTTGATCATTACATAATTCATTCAGACTGGTGTCCATGTTACTGTTCTGCTTCTGTTTGTCAGCCATGTTGTAATATTTACCACAGCAAAAATGCTTTGCAAGTTTTCTCGACTAAAATCAAATATAATGTAATAATTTTTATCAACTTTCAAAAATATTGATGTTTTCATGTTGTGAATGTTCTTTTACACATGTATTATTCCCCACTTAATGGAAGCCAGCTTCAACAAAATCTCATTTTCCGTAAGTGTTTTATAATCGATAACAAGGATTTAATTTCCATATCAATTTTAATTGTTTTATAGAGTTCCTGATGAAGAGCCAATAAAGACTCGAAAGCTTGAACAGGAACAAGAGTACACTTTGTTTTTTTCTTTGACTGCATACCCGAAGGCTCTATATATATATATATATATATATAGAAAACTATGTGTTAGGGAAACAGCTAAAATCTCTATTTTCCTTGAGGTTGCAGTCAAAGAGTCTTTTCTCTACATTGGCCATTCCCTTTGACTGCAACCTCA